AGCAGGAAAAGACTGGAGCTTCAGGATGTGAAAACCAAATTAAAGTCTTGAGTAAAAGGGAGAATATGCAATGCTGAGTTTGTTTTGGTTTTATTTTTCCTTTGAGGCATCCATTATTAATCAAGCATTTTTTGATTCTTCTCTGGCTTTATTTTTTTGTAGTTCTTTTTTGTCTAGTCCACTTTCACATACCATATTAAAAGGAATACTGTCAATTTAAATGTCTTGCCTAATTTGTGTGTGGATTGTGTCGTCACGATAACTGCATGTTTCTGTTACATTGTTGACTGGCTATATCTGTTTTTCTCTATGCAATTTAGAGTTTAAATATAGGGTTTTAAATAGGAAAGAGTTTCAACGAGTCCAGAACGTCTAAAGTATGGATTTTTCTTGTGTTGGAAAATGCTTTCCCAAGCACTTTCAGATTTTGGGCTATGAGAATTTATACTGCTTCTTTTTCCAGTCTTACCTTTTTCCGTTCTCATAACGACTTGTTTGGTACAGGTCACATGTAAATCCAGTAAGAAAACACTTTTCAGTCTTTTTAAGTGTAGTCGTGTTTGACTGCTCACCCTCTAATCAAATTCTTCTAACACAAAAAGCTTGTAATGGCCTGTAAATACGCACCTAGCCTTAAAATTTTTTAGTGAGTTTAAAACTTTGGTCCAGACCCTTCATGTTAATAAAGAGAAGTAACTTCTGAAATAAAACTTTAATACAGTTAGAGTTTCTAGAGAAAGGGCACTCTGTATGTGGTACAGGACTTCTTGGTGTTTTGCCTTTTTTTCCCATCTAACGTTTGCATTGTGAACATTTCTGAAAAATGTGAGCGCCGATGTTTTGTAGGTAAGCCTAAATTATATTTTAATGAAACTTCATTAGTTGCGTATGAACACAGATTTCTGTGCCATAACACGAGTATACATGTTCCAAAATACCCATACTGTATTTCTCTTCTTACTTACAGAAGAATGTGGTTTGCATATGGAAATTCTGGATTTGTTCTGTGCAAAACTCATGTAGGCAAAAAAAATGTTAGAATGGACTCAAGAACACACTGTTGAGTACAGTGGGATCAGAGGTAGATGTCATGCTGACAGAATCCTCCAACAATCCTTTCTTTGGTTTATGCAAAGAGTGAAAAGTATCCGATGATCACATGATCTTTTTTGGTTTTCAAGAAATATTGTTTGTTATTATCTCTGTATGTTTGGATTAGAGCCTTGCTTGGCTCAAGCAGCTGCAGTTCAGCTGACTTCCAAATAGGTTACTTAACAAATGTTGGATTTAACTCTCAAAATTGGGCCATTCTGGTGATGTAGTAATCCATTAAGTTTATGTTATGTAGAGGTGAATAGTCTAAATACGTTTAAATGCAGCTTCTTAATGAACTTTTTTCTCTTTACATAGATAAAATCCTTGATCTTACGGCTTCAGAAGCTTCAGCAAAAAGCAATAGAGGCAGATGACTATGACAGAGGTGAGAGTTTCTCCCCCCTATATCCTCACTGGATCATGCTGATTTTTTTTTCCTTCCCCCTCCTTCCTCTATTAATTTTATTTTATATTTGCTACAGAGCAATGGGAGTAGGTGTGCAAGACTGGTCCAAAGAACTGTATTGTTTATTCTATGGTATGGCAGGAAACAAAGAAAGAAGTAGGTCAGCAGCAGGGAGCAACAGTTTTTATTTTCTTGAGCCACATCACCATGTGGGAAGGTTGAAATCCAAATACCCACCATCTGGATCAGCGCTTTTGAAGCAGCATGTCTTTTAAAAATGCCAAAATGAATGGAAGGATTTGAAGGGAAAAAGGACAGGCACTGGATGCTGACAGAGTGTGATTCGTTGCTTGCCACATTTAGTCATGACACTACAGCAGGGCTCAAACACAGAAATGAGGTCAGTAGCTATTATAAAAGTGAATGATACAGTCCTGTGAGATTAGCTTGATGTCCACTGAGTTGAATCGAAACCAGCTAGGGAATATGGTGGTGATACAACTGCTGGCAAATACCTATATTTTAATAGTGCTTTTCCTTTCAAACGCACTTCTGATAAGCTCTCTGTGTGCGCACATTAATAATTACAGTATCTATTAGCACACATCACGGGTTTACTGTTTCCTTGTTATGGTAGTTTGTATTCAGGTACTTTGATAGTCTTGAGGTTCCAGATGAAATTCTTCTTACTAGATCTATCTTGTTGGGAAGCCCTGTAAAAGTTTCAGTAAAATCTATACGAGTACTTCAGAGAATAAAGCTGGAAAAAGATGTCTCCTTTCCTGCCCCTTTTTTATTCACAACTTTTAGGGATTAGGAAGTGGTCAGACTTGTGGTTTTCCTTTCAAAATTGATGTGTGAAGCTTTGCAGTTGTACCATGGCTCTGTTTCCCTGCCCCCAAAGCTGTCCTCCAAGACGACTAAAATGTGTTTTAATAGTGTTTATGGAGCACTTGTGTAGCCCTTTTGCAAGTGAGGTTCTGTTGACTTCCTAAAGACTTGCCTATGTGTGGGAGAGAAGTCTGCTACTGTCACAAGTCATTCTTTAGTGTGGCATCTCCCAGGGGGGAAAACCTTAAGATATGTTAAAATGTGAGGATGCTGTAGGTATTCATGGGTTTAATCTCTGTCAAATAGACTTACTGATGTGTTTGGTTTACATATGTAACACTCCTAACTGTTCTTTTTTTGAAGTGCCTGTGGGTTTGAGTTCCCAGTTGGGGGCTTCCCAACAGCTGGGTACTCGGTGTGCGTGATTCTCACTGATTCCAGCTGGGATTCTCTGGGCAGCCACAATATTCTAGTATTTCAGGGGTGACATCTGGATGTGATGCCACGTAGTCGTTGACGACAGTGTAAAGTGATGACTTCTCTAACCTTGCACAGAAAGCTCTTATGTAGTTTTCCTGGGGGCTAGTCTTGTATCTTCAAAACAGGACCATCTTTCTGTTGACCATCATTTTATCAATTACCCTTTTTGGTTTCCCCCCAAGTTATCAGGCAGGTAGCACGGAGGGTGGTTTGCAGAGTCTTGCAGTAATTCCGCTCAGAAAAACGATCTGACTGAAATGTGATTTCACCAGGGGTTGTGGGCACAGCTTACCAAGAGCAAAAACGGCAGCAGTGCAAAGGTGGAGAGGAGCATCTGCAGGTGGAATTGCTATTTTCTGTGCTAAGTCTTGCATATGTAAGCAGAAAACATTTGTCCTGTTATGGGACTAGATACTGAGGTGCTTGAGAGACTTTGCTTTGGGTTTTTCTATTCCTTTGAAAACTGGGACTCCTTTGAAAACTGGAATTCCATCTTCACACAAGTCTTCTTAAAGTGCCATGCTTTGTGCATGCACGTAACCATGCGTCCTTAATCTTATCAAATCCTAATTTCTGAGTTCTTGACCCACTTTCCGTCACACTCGTCTTTATTTCTCTTCTGATACTACTATCAGTGTGTTTGAGGTTTTTTTTGTGATTACTTTTCATTATTATCATTACATCTGAACTGGCTTCCTTAATTTTTCTTTTGTGAAATATGAGCAGTGTATCTTCAAGAAAGACTCACATAGAGAAGGTGCAGTGCAGCAAAAAGAATTGACCTTCCTTCCTTTTCTTGCAGGGCCAAGCTTTCCACCTTTGCTTTTAGAGCTCCATCGCTGCTCCTGGTGGAGAACAACATCTTGCTTAGTGTGAAGTGAAGTTTGAAAGCTTATTAAAGAGCTTACAGATTAGCCTAGTACCAATTTCTGTTCAAATGAAATCTGTAATTAGCCTTCTTTAAAGGGATCTTATTGCCAAATATTGCTAGCAGGGAATGGAATTGCTAAAAGTGCAGAGCTGTGATATGGGGCATAAATGGAAATATATCCTCAGGGAATGGAAGAAACCAACACCTTATGTGGAGGGCTGAGGACATTTAAACTATAATGCTAAAAGGAAAATTACCATTCCTGTACTTTGGGGCACTTGGAGGGTAAAGTGAGTCATCTGTTGAGAGCAGAGCTATTTTAAGCTGGATTGTGGTAGTCCTGTGTGTGGTGGTAACATGGGTCTTGCTGATTTGGAACTGCTGCAGGGGAAAGGGGAGATCCAGTACGATGTGAGTAGCTGCAAAATGCTCTTTAGGTGGAAGAGATGGATCGAGTGGAAAGAGAACAGCTGAAGGAGGGATATGGGTTGCTGCACCCTCGAGTGGAAAACCAAGTTGCCAGTAAATACATTATTGCGTGTAACTATGTTATTGCTTTAGTCATAGAGGCTCTTCTCCAGCTTCAACCATAGACAAGAACTCAAGATACTTTCTGCTCTCTAAGAGCCATCCACTCTTGCAGGAGAGGGCTTGACTTGTAACAGCAAATCAGTGGGAGGGAGATGTGTTAAAACTCGTCGGAGTGCACAGAGATGGTTTCTGCTGTCTGACACTGCAAACTTAACCTTAGGAAAGACAAGCATCTGCTGTCTGACAGTGCTGCTTTCCTGCTCTCCAAAGCTTTTTGAAAGTTCCTATAGTTTATTGGAACTTTTGAAACTGAAGTGTAAGTAAAGTGGTGCCCCTACATAGCGGGGAAAGTGATACGTTTTTGGAAGGTGCTGGGGGTTTGGTTATGACACTGAGACTAGGAAATGGCACAGAGATAAAGCAAGTCTTTCGCACTGCAAACCCATGAAAAAGTATTTTAAACAGGTCAGAAATAAGGATGTATTTGTTTTTCCCCTTTGCAGAAACCCAGAACAGATGCTTGCTGCTTGGGTCTGTTAGAGAACACGTATGCTTTTCAGATTCGTGTTGTTGAATTAGCATTTATTTCCTGTGCAGGTGATGATTTTTTTAAGGGATGTTTGGAATCACAACCCTTTGTTGTTGTTTAGGAGAGAAGTGAATGCCTGTTTAAATCTTCAGCTTGTTTCTTCCTAGCTTTTCCTTTCTTTAGCTGAATCTCTTTGCCCTGTCTTCCTTCTTCTCTTGAGCTTGGGAGGGGCACAGAAGAAATTGGCTTTTGTCATTGCTTGTGTTTACCTGTGCTCTGCCTTCTTAAAGATCTGCCTTGGGATGGTGTAGAAGGGCTTCAGTCAGTCATTCAAGCAACTGTTTTTTTCCTATAATTACTGGTAGTGCCATGTGCTTTGAGGGAAGGCTATATGTTTGTGCTGGGAGTGTCGGGGGTGCTGCTTGCGGCAGAGGCTGCCCTACTGTCCCATCTCCATGTTCATCTGCTTGAGGTTACCAAGAACGGTGCCGTGAGACCTGCAGGGCGCTCCATCTTCATACCGTAGCCACCACGGGTTGTTTCAAATGAGGATGTTCCTTGGCTGTGGATGTATGTGTGAAATGCATATTCAGTGAGACAAATCTCCTTCTCAGTCTTGGTTTAATTTTAGATAAGAACCATTAGGATGCTACGTGCATTACTGCTCATTCAGTGCTTGTAAGTGATGAAATATCAGAAAGTAGCTTACTTTTTTTCTGTATTTACTTGTGGTCTCCTCTTGATGGCCACATTACTGTATATTTTCAAGGCAGGTGCAGTTCCATGGGAATACGTTAACAGTGCTTTGCTTTGCATAGCATATAGTAAAAATTGGTCTGTTCTCCAAGGATCACTTGGAGTGTTGTCATGGCTCATTATTCATGATGGAGCTTGACAGCTCCAAGGTTAAACACACTGCTGAATACAGGAGGTTAAAAAAAAAAATAAAAGCAGCATATTTTTGTGTCTGTGGGAGTTGTGTTTGCAGTGGAAGCATAAACACTTAAAAACTTTTCCTGTTCTTTGTTTCCTGAATTTCTTGATCTTGTCTGGTGCAAGGGGCAAATGGATTGGTAACTAAGTGTCAGGTTTGAGTGTCTGGCATACATTTGTGCTATTTTCAGTTATTGTTTTTACTTGTTACATGTGTAGCCCGTGCACCTTCAGCCACTTCTTGAAACATTGTTGATGTGAATACTACTCTCAGCTGTTGTTATCTTCATGTCAAGGTGTGTCTTTGAGGTAGAATAGGATCTTGCTCCTGGTCTGCTTATGTCCACACATTGCAAATGCACTCATTTGTTCTGCATCTTTGATTCTTTAGCCAATGTTGGAGAAAAAGCTGCTGTACTCATGCAGTATCTCTCTTAGACTGTGCAGCCTAAATATTTTTAGGAAGCGGTGGTATATTGTGGGATTCTACTATGCTCTCTTTATTTTAATCTTGGCCAGTGTGAAGAGGTTCAGCCGCGTCTTGTGTTTCTGGAAGCTGCTTGACAAAAAGAAAATTGCTGAAGTTTTGGCATACCATGTGCTTGGAAGCTTTCTCTACTCCCAGCCATCTGCTGTCTAAAACTGACACTGCGGACTACCCCTCCTATGATAGTCGGGCTCTATTTCTCAGTCCATGATGCAGCCAAGCTGTTCCCAGACAGCCTGGCTGGTCTTTTACAAACAAACAAGCAGCGAAAAAATCTGTACAAAATAAGCAGTTATGGATAATTTAAGATCATACTC